CTCAACAGGGGGTGGTTTTGTTCCTCATGGGACATCTGGCAGTGTCTGGAGACATTTGGGGCTCCTGGCATCAAAGGAGTGGAGGTCGGGGATGCCACTGAGTACCCTGCAGTGCACAGGGTGTGCCTTACCTCCAGCCCCACATGGCATTAGTGCCACTGACAAGAAACTCTCCTATAAAAGGATGTGGGTATAGGAGGTGGCCTATTCCCTGAGACTTCCTGTTTCTCTGTTCAAGTGTTAGCTTTCCCTTGTAAAAGTGTTTATTCTGTTGCTTGCCCTTGCTCCAGCCTTGTACATGGGGCACAAATCGGCGTGGAATATCATAGAGATGTACAGAAAGTATGTGAATAATTACATTGCTCATGGTCTCCTTTTCTCTCAATCTAGTGGAAGCTGTTGCTGCCCTAGGGAACAAAGTTGTGGAAAGCCTAAGAGCACAAGATCCTTCTGAAGGTTGGTTTGAGTTTGTCGTTGGACATGTATTCAGCAGGAGCCAGGTCAATAATGACAACTACACTTTTAACAAAGGTCAGGCTAGAAAGAAGAGTGAATGCAGAGATTTTTTTTGTTACTGTTTATTTTTGAGGGGCGGGGCAGAGAGAGAGGGAGACAGAGGATCCAAAGCAGGCTGTGTGTGCACTGACAGCAGAGAGCCCAATGTGGAGCTTGAACTCACCAACAGCGAAATCATGACCTGAGCTGAAGTTGGTGCTTAACTGACTGAGCCACCCATTCTGAGCCAGCCGCCTCTTGAATGCAGAGTTCTATGTTGCGGAAGTTTTTGCAGTGATCTCCAGTGTCTGATACCCAGTTCATCTCCGTTACTTTTATTTATTTATTTTTCTGAAGTTTATATTTAAGTAATCTCTGCACCCAGTGTGGGGCTTGAACTCGTGCCCCAGAGGTCAAGTGTCCCATGCTCTTCCAACTGAGCCAGCCAGGTGCCCCATCTCTTTCTTATAAAAGTGTTTTGAATCCTCATTCTGGACTCTTGCTGTTTTTAGAAACCTATCTGCTCTCCTACTTCAACCCTATATTTACCTCTGGTCATCTAAGGGAGATGGGGGCATTACAGGTTTTGATTTTCTTTCAGTTTTGACCATGCTGACCAATGAAACTGGTTTCGAGATCAGTTCCTCTGATGCTACAGTGAAGATTCTCATTACAACAGTGCCACCCAATCTCCGAAAACTGGACCCAGAACTCCACTGTTCGTCCTTTTTTTCCATTTCTGGGATACTTGGGAGAAATTCAAAATATGGTATAAGACAAGGTTGCTGCTGAGTGTTTAGCTAGTTGCTATTCCATGTGAAACCTTCTGGACCTAAGTTGACCCCCAAACTTCACTATCTCCCTCTGTAATTTGGAGACAGTTTTACTAGCTTGCTAGTGAAACTGTCAGACAGGATGGCCAAGAAAGCAAGTGGATTGGAGGACAGTATTTATGGAGGGAATGGGCTCTTGGAGAAAGTTGTGGATCTTGCGTGCTTACAGATTTGGTGTAGGGGAGGAATAGTGATTTCTGGACAAGTGATTTGCTGGTCTGAGGAACCTGGGGTGGTTTAAGAAATTACAAGGAGGCTGAATTGCTTGCTTAGTAACAGGAGTGTTTCATTGTGGCCTGTTCTGCTGGTCTTGTAGTGGACATCAAGGTGTTGCAGAGTGCCTTAGCAGCCATCAGACATGCCCGCTGGTTTGAGGAAAATGCTTCTCAGTCCACGTGAGTTCCTTGCTATTTGAGTTTAAATAACCTAATTATTCTAATTATACTGAATAGCAGGATACCTCCATACTTCCGCTGTTAAAACTCTTTGGCTATAATTGGCCAGGTTTCTTTCTTTTTTTTTTTTTTTAAATACACCTTATGTAAGCAAATTAAAAGGTTTTTTTGTTTAACATTCATTTGAGAGAGAGCATGCCAGTGAGTGGGGAAGGGGCAGAGAGAGAGAGGGAGACACAGAATCCAAAGCAGGCTTCAGGCTCCGGGCTGTCAGCACAGAGCCTGATGTGGGGTTTGAACCCATGAACTGTAGGATCATGACCTGAGCTGAAGTCAGACACTTAACTAAGCCACCCGGGTGCCCCTAAGTAAGCAAATTTAGATCGAGAGAAACAAAATGTGTAGTTTTAGAAATAACAACAGCTCTGTACCTCAGGGATGGAAGTACGTGATGTTATTTTAATTGCTGGGTTCCTCTTACTTTCAGAGTTAAAGTTCTCATCAGACTGTTGAAGGACCTGAGAATTCGTTTTCCTGGCTTTGAGCCCCTCACACCCTGGATCCTTGACTTACTTGTAAGTAAAGGGCAGTTGGAGTTCCTGGTCACCTCTATTTAACAGCAGTTATTCTGAAACCGACCAGGATCGGAAATTTGGTGAAGCTGAAAATCAGTGTCATGGTGGGCAATAATTCAGTAAATACATGGTGTTTATTACTTCGTTGGGTTTTTAGAGTTTCAGTTGAATGAGTAATTTTACTGTCCCTATTCCTCTTTGTTACTGATGTAATTTTAGTAATGAGATAATGAGAAATCAGTGAATGAGCAGCTAGTTTCAGAACTGCTTCTGAATATGAACATTTTACTTAGACTTCAGTAATCTGTTTTGTGAATATTTGAGGTTTCAGTTTGTTTGGCTAGAATTGTCAAGTTTATGGCACGCCTACCATGTTGATTATTTTCCAGGGGCACTATGCTGTGATGAACAATCCCACCAGACAGCCTTTGGCCCTAAACGTGGCATACAGGTACAGCATGCTTCTTTGGGTTTGGGGCTGGGTGTAAGAGGTCTTGTGTGTTTTTTTTTTAAACGTTCTCGTGTGCTTCAGACGTTGCTTACAGATCCTGGCTGCAGGACTGTTCCTGCCAGGGTCAGTGGGGATCACTGACCCCTGTGAGAGTGGCAACTTCAGAGTACACACAGTCATGACTCTGGAACAACAGGTATGGGGTCAGCTCTGCAATTGCGTGTTGTGTCCTACTCTTGAATACTCCAGATCAGAAGGCAAAGGCAATGTGGTCTTTAGGGGTCAGGGATTTGGGGGTTCTCACAAACTTTGGTCTTGAAATTAAAGTTGTCCTCAACTGTTTTCATGAGAATACTCATCAGATACGGTACTTTAACTCCCCTTTCTAGTTTACTCTCACTCTGCTCTCCTTTAGGACATGGTATGCTACACAGCTCAGACTCTGGTCCGAATCCTCTCACATGGTGGCTTTCGGAAGATTCTCGGCCAGGAGGGTGATGCCAGCTGTGAGTGATCGTTGTGGGTCAGGGGATCTTTATGGTACTCTACTCTACAAAGCTCTACACTATTCAGATGTGTTACTATTTCTACTGTGTAGGTTAGGACTTGTATGCTGGGCTAGTTGCCTGAAATCGTTTTTTTTTTTCCAGATCTTGCTTCTGAAATCTCTACCTGGGATGGGGTGATAGTGACACCTTCAGAAAAGGCTTATGAGAAGCCACCAGAGAAGAAGGAAGGAGAAGAAGAGGAGGAGAATACGGAAGAACCACCTCAAGGAGAGGAAGAGGAAAGCATGGAGACTCAGGAGTGACCTTCCTTCCTATCTTCATCCCCTTTCTTGTCCAAGGTGAAGACTGGAGCCCAAGCTAACTGCTGCTGGACTTCACGTGGTGGCATTTCTGAGGGAAAAGGGAGACAGGAAGGAAAAGAAACTATAGAAGGAAGTGTCATTCCACTGGGTTCCACTTGGCTCAACAGCCAGAAGTCTCCCATTTACGACCTATGCCATCCATCTATAGTGAAGCAGGAGACCAGCTTTTCTTCCTAAGACTTCAGAGTCCCCAGGTCCTGGAAACCTCCCTCAAACAGTACTTTGTTGTTGAAATGTTGTGAACTGTTAGTGTCTGGAATTTTTTTTTTTCTGAGAAAAGTGATTAAAGTACTTCCTCGTAGGGCTCTTGCTCGTTTTTCCTTGGCATCTGGCAACCTTTTTTGCTTTCTGTACTTTTCAATGAAAGTGGTATTTGAGTCTTCTCACTGTAAACACTAGATCACAATTTAAGCTGTATCTGAATTAAAGTTTCTACAAAGATTCTTGGAACCTTTCCATATACCAGAGTAAACTAGAACACTGTTTAAGCATTTATTGAATGAAATGGTTCTACCAATACTGCTACTGTATTCAAGCCCAGTGCAATCAACAAAAGAGGGTAGACAGAGGTCATTACCTTGACTTTGCCTGCCCTTCAAATCCTCAGTGTAAACAAAAGAAAACAAGTCACAGGTAGAAGACATGCAATGGAGGAAGCCCCTCATTAACTAGGCTTGAAGGTAGAGGAGCTGGGCCTTGAGAATGTAGGTTTTAAAAAGGTAGAGTCCTCAGCCCATTCTTGGAAGCAAGAGCCATAATAAATCCTTTGGGATCATTAGTCCTGCTGTACACAGGTTTCTTTGGGCCCCATATAAGTGGGTAAGACTTAAGTGCTTCAGACAGAAACAACTGGGCTGCCTGTTGGATGTCCCAAGGTCTACAGGGAGTTCCTGGAGGAAGCAAGGCATCTGGGGAAGAGTACTTGTGCTATTATGGGGCCAGGCATGAGCCCCATCTTCTGGCCTGTTCACTTGCTCGGGGAACCAGAAGGGTAAACTCCTGAATCCAGCATTGCCCTCCTGCGGGCTGTTTCCTTGGCAACACTGTGGTTTAGTCGCCTCAGCCGTTCCTACAAGACAAGATTTGGAATCCTAACTGCTCCATGTAAAGCTTTAGAACGCCCTGTCTGCTAGATGCGGGAAAATACCCTGGCCTCGCTCCCTCTTGATGTAAGTCCTCTAAGGTGCGAAGAACATTAAGTGAGGGCAGCTGGGTATGGAGAATGACGATGATAAGATCTATTATGGCTGACACTGGTTGACAACTGTCTTTCCCCAAAGACTAAAAATCACAGTGACTTTTATGGTCATCCCTTGAAAATGAGAATACCCTGAGGACTTCTAAAGGATCACTGTTCACAGGGAATTCCTTTACCTGCGCATTCTGCAGAATGTTGTTGACCAAGACAACTCGTCGCCGGGCATTAAGCAGCTTCTTGACATAGGGGTCGAGATCCAGGGCCACTTTCTGATCCTCGTTGATTCGGCACAGCTCTGGGGGATGGAAGTAAGCTGCAAACTAACACCTAATGGCTCCTCGTTCTTGGGGAAGGCAGGCCTGCACCCACATGGGCCGGTCACTAGAAACTTAGGGAAGCAGGAATCACTGGAGCCCTGATGTCCTGGAAGCACACGACACAAACCCACCCGGAGGTGGGCTAGACACGAGGTCCTAAAAGCGAGCTGCAGGATCGCGGGAATGCAGGGATGCTTACTCACCAGTAGCCAAGTTGTCAATTTGCTCCCGGAGCTCTACCTGGCTCTCTCTGCAAAGAGTTACGAGGCCTACGCGGTCAGTTCATGGGACTCAAAGAGCCGACTCCCCGAAGGGCTTCCCGAGACCTGAGCCAAGCCAGCCCCGCCCCTTCCGGACCTGGCCCCGCCCCTTCCCGGCGCCCCCTGCCTCCCACAGCCAAACCAAGAGGCCCCACCCCTCCCTTCCCTCTCGGACCTGACAGCGTGGACGTGAGAGTCCAGCTGCTGCACAGCCGGTCGCAGGAACTCGAGGAGCCCCTCGGCGAAGAGATCGCGGCCTGCGGGACCCGCCACGGGGGTCCCTGCCCCGGACACAGCGGCAGAACCAGCCCCAGCCATCGCCAGCAGCCCTTCCGCCGAGAACGTGCCGCGCGGGCCGCCGGGAACTGGAGCGGAGCTGAAGCGCGCCGCCAGGGGGCGCCCGGCAGAGCTGTGGGCGGGACCCAGCCGGGGGGCTTCTGGGAAACCGAGTCTCCGCCACTGCCGGCGGTTAGGCGGAGCTGTAGGTCCTCGGAGGCCCCGGAGGGTGCTGTTGGCGGGTGGGTCTCCGGACTTCCGCGGGCTGGGAGGAACCATTTTGGGGGCGCCTATCTTTGGTTTTCTGCAAAGGTGGAAAATAAATGCTCGTCTCGTCAGTTGTGCATAGCCCTCTCCTGTTCATTTGATGAGAAAACCAGATTGTATTCCTAGTATAGGTTCCTGTTTCTAAATTTGAGAGTGTATTTTTTTAAGGGCACTACGGTATGTATAAAACTGTAGGAATGGGGCGCCTGGCTGGCTCGATCAGGCTCTGTGCCGACAGCACGGAACCTGCTTGGGATTCTCTCTCTCTGCCCCTTCCCTGCTCACTCTCTCTCTCAGAATAAACATAAAAAAACAAACCAAAAAAACTGCACAGAACACTATCAAGTCTCAAAGGGAATGATTTTTTTTTTTTTTTTTTTAGAGGTTATGTATTTATTTTGAGAATGAATCCTAAGCAGGCCTCGCACTGTCAGCACAGAGCTTGACACCGGGCTTGAACTCGACAAACCATGAGGTTGTGACTTGAGTCTGTGACTTGAGTCGAGATCGAGTCTGATGCTTAACCAACCAACCGAGCCACCCGGTGCCTAAAGGGATGGAGTTCTGGCACGTGCTCCCAGAGGGGGACCCTTGGAGACATCACGCTGGGAAAAACGAGCCAGAAACGAAGACACCTACTGCCTGGTTACTACAGAAAGTGCCCAGAGCAGTCCAATTCATGGACATAAAGTGTGGTTTCTTCTCTATCAGCACAGTGTTGCAGGGGCCGGAAGGAAAGGTGAATGAGGAGTTACTGTTTCATGGGTAGAGTCTCGGTATGGGATGATAAAAAAGCTCTAAAGAGGAGTAATGGTGATGAACTTACTTAATGCCACCGACAAGTACACTTAAAAATGGTGAAAGTGGGTGCTCCTGGGTGCCTCAGTTGGTTAAGCACCTTGACTTCAGCTCAGGTTATGATTTCATGATTCATGAGACTGAACCCCACATTGGGCTCTGCATGGACAGTGAGGAGCCTGCTTGGGATTCTCGCCTCTCTCTCTCTCTCTCTCTCTCTCTCTCTCTCTCTCCCTGCCCCTCCCCCACTTGCTCTCTCTCGAAAAACAACGACAGTGGTAAATTTTATGTGCATTTTGCCACAGTAAAGCAAAATTTAAAGCCTACATGTGTTTTCATATTAAAAAAAAATTTTTAAATGTTTTTATTTATTTTCGAGAGAGAGCAAGCAGGGGAGGGGCAGAGAGAGAGGGAGACACAGAATCCGAAGCAGGCTCCAGGCTCTGAGCTGTCAGCACAGAGCCTGATGCAGGGCTTGAACCCATGAACCGTGAGATCATGACCTGAGCTGAAGTCAGATGCTTAACCCACTGAGCCACCCAGGCAGCCCCCCCCCCCCCCCGCCAAATTTTTTTTAGTGTTTATTTTTGGGAGAGAGAGAGCGGGGGAGGGGCAGAGAGAGGAAGACAAAGAATCCCAAGCAGGCTCCAGACTTGGAGCTGTCAGCACAGAGCCTGATGCAGGGCTTGAACTCACAAGCTGTGAGATCATGACCCGAGCTGAAGTCGGACACTTAACCAACTGAGCCCCCCGGAAGCCACCCCCCCCCCCGAATTTTGTTTAATGTTTCTCTATTTTTGAGAGAGAGAGAAACAGAATGACAGTGGAGGCAGGGCAGAGAGACAGAGGGAAACACGGAATCTGACGCAGGCTCCAGGCTCTGAGCTGTCAGCACAGAGCCCGACGTAGGGCTTGAACCCATGAGCCATGGGATCATGACCTGAGCTAAGTCAGACACTTAACCAACTGAGCCATCCAGGCACCTGTGTTTTTTCCTTCCCTTAAAAAGCTTCCTTAGTTTTGTTGCATTTTTCATGCCTTTCCAGAGAGTTTACATACATGTCTTGAATTCTCAACATGAGGCCCAGTCTCTTAAGCTCCAGTGCGTTCCAGCGGCTCGCAGTCCTGTGGGCCGTGGGGTGCAGTGAGTGCAGAAGTGCTCTTGGACGGCAAAGGGGTCCCCAGACATAGATGGCACCAGAATGTTCAGCCTCGAGCTTCCTCCTCAGGAACAAAAGAGGAGGTGTTTAAATCGCTGTGGAGGAGTGGTGGTCCACAGCTGAAAACCCGAGGCCCCAAGTGTGATCCCTTTTAAAGCCTTGTACACTTTTTGTCGTGTTGTCTTTGTCTTCCTGTAGCTTTCCCTCTAGTGATCAGAGCTGAAAGTCTCAGGAGAGGCTGCAGGCTTATTATGGGAGTAAGCGATGGGAAGGGGTAACTCTGGTACCTGCAGCCTGCCCCAGAGTCAGGCCTTGTGAGGAGGAGCCCAGGGGATGGAGGGAGTGAGGACAGTGTTGAGGAGGAAAGGGAGAAAGGCCACATCCTTGAGGCCTGTGCTGTAGAGAGAGAGAAAAGGGCTGGCCGGGGCTGGGAAAGGAGGTTGGTGGCTCAATGTCTCTACAAGAAGCCCCCAAGTTAGGTCACAGTCCCTTCAGGTACATTTTTGAAGTAGGGTTGTGAAATTTGGAAAACAACAATCAAAAAGCCCCGGGACACTAGGTAAATGTGAATTTCAGATAAAAAAATAATTTTTCAATAGAAGTATTTTATCTGGTAATCCTACTTCAAAGGCTGGTTCTCTGAGAAAAATCACTCTGTTTTGCTTTTATGCTTTCCTTCCCACTCTTATCACCTCCAGTCAGCACTTATCTCTCCTGAGGGCCCTGCCACAGCCTCCTGACTGATCTTGCCTGTTGTCTCCCTCCCCTCCAGGTCAATCTGCACTCTAGAATACCAGATTACATAATAACCCTGCTCAGAGAATACAAATGCTGAAAGGGACTTTGTTGTATTCATTCATTCATTTTCAAAGTAATCTCTACCCCCAATGTGGGGCTTGAACTCACCGCCCAGAGATCGAGTCACAGGCTCTACTGACTGAGCCAGCCAGGCACCCCTGAAAGGGACTTTAGAATCCATGTTTCCAGTTTCTTGGACACATCTGATGAGGTTTTTGGGGTGACAGTGGGGTTCATGGGGTTGGAGCCAACAGCCAAGAAAGAATTCTTGAAGACATCTTTGGTGCAAGAAAGGTGATTTGATTAAAGCACGGGGACAGAACCCGTGGGCAGGAAGAGCTGCCCTGGGACCATGAAGAGACACTGGTTATATATACTATGGAGCTGGGGGAGGTAAAGTCCAGGGGAAGTTTCTAGTGAGACTTTCATATGCTAAAGAAGGCTCACAGGATATTGGCGGCCTTGCCTGTGGAGAGAAGGTTGTTTTCATTCTAGCAAAGCCATCAGCATTGAGACTGTAGGGAGTTCCTGGAGAAACGTTTTACTCTGCCAGCCTCAAGTATTTGTCAATGGGCTGCAGGTTATTAGGAAATTTAATTCTATCTGCCATTTTCTTCTGCTTTTGTTTCCCACATCAACGTCTGTAAGGGAGACCAGGCAAGGGACTTTTCGAAAGGAAAACCAAGGCCCAAGATGGGATTACTTATGTCAGGCCGAGTCACAAACCTGGGCTTCATACCTAACCTAATTGCAGTTTCAACCTCTCCCAGAAATGTAGTCTTAACTGGTCCGTCCGACAAGGCAGTTTGTCACAAGGGCCCTCTCCGGCCTACAAAGGAGGGTGAGGTAATCTGCATGATAAGACCCCTCCCGCCTCCCCCTGGGGGAATTTCTTCGGGTTAGCCAACAGAGGAGAGAGAGGAGATGGGGGGAAAACTAGAAAGATAAAGGCCTGCCTCCACGGCCTTCTCACGCTCCTCAGTGCCTCCGAGGTCAGAACTCCATTTTCAGCGTCTGACCCCCTTGTAACAAGCAGGAGCCCTGGAGTCTACCCAGATCCTGGTCTGGCCAGGGAACCCACTCATGGGGCATGTGGGGACGGCAGCCCTCCAGAAGCACCAGTTGGGGAAAAAAGCTGGAATCTCAGACCTCATTGCCCGCTCCACCCCTTCCCACACCCATCCTGCTGCTTCCCCTTGGGCTCTGCTACTGAAGCACTGTAGGGCTCCCTAGACCATGTTCTGGGGGCCTCCCAGAAAGGGGAATGGATGAGGAAATCCGTTAACTGGACCTCTCAGGCCCCCTTCCCGGTTAAAGCCCTCCTCCCCCAAGCAGGACCCTCTGAAAGCCCTGTCCCCCCTCCCCCCGCAGCTCCATACTGGGTGTGGGGGCGCAATTGGCCTGCTGGACCAAGGGCATGGTGGTTGTACCACCTGAGCCACTGCACCTTCTCCCTACAGAGCTTCCTCAGGACCTATCCCGGGACCCAGAGCCAGCAAGGAGGGGACAGTCAACCTAAGTACCGCTCAGGTGGTAGGGACATCAGGGGAGATCAGAGATTGGGAGGGGGAGTTCTTATGACCTACATCTCCTACAGCCTCTGTGGAAAAGCCAAGAACTGAAGGGCCACTGCTCCCGCTCTCTCTCTTTTAAAATAATAAGCATTAAAAAATAAAAGAGATGCTGAGGGTGAGGTATGTGTGGGAAGGGCACAGGACTTCCGTGCCCTCCAGGAGCACCATTCTCCCCAAATCCCTACGAGTTCACCAACCCTGAGGCTCCCCCAACCCCGTCCTTTGGGGTTTTGCAGAGGCTTCCTTTGGGGTTTTGCAGAGGCTTCATGACACACGCACGCTCGGTTGCTTAACTCATTGGCCGCCGGGGATGGATGGACCCTCTCCCCTCCCTGGAGGAACTTCCAGTCCCACCCTCCAATCACTGAATTCTTACCGGCCTGCATCCTTGTCACCTAGAGGCTTTCGGCAAGTCAATATTAACACAGCAAAAGACCCTTTATTGTCCTTCCTTCGTAATAGGAAACTTCCAGGATTTAGCAGCTCTGTGCCAGGAACAGGATGAAGACCAAATATACATTTCTTGTTATAAGCTACAAATACCACACCATGGATCTGTTTAAATCTTAGGCAGATAGTCACCTTATACTAAAGGGTAAAGAAATTCACTAAATCAAACCTCAATAGAGAATCTAGTGAATCCTTTAAAGAGGCTTCGTGAGGCCTGCCCTGCCCTGCACAGGAAGAGGACCATGACTGAGTATTGCTAGCATCACAGGTCCCAGGGTCATCCTGGTCTGTCTCCACCCTCAGGGATCCCCCTATCTTGCCCTCCTTTGCCCCTGAGCATGTAGTCAAAGGCCCTCACGAGCCAGGGAACACTGCAGGCTGGAGAGCACACCCAAGCAGGAGTATAGGGTAGCCAGATGGCTCCTGGAACATCTCCCACAAGCAGATAAAAATGGGGAGATGGTGTCTGGGGAAGGTCAGAAATCAGACCATATACCCCCATTGTGGCCACTGTGTCTGTTTGTGTATAGGGAGGGAGTGGACCCTTAAGAGGTCCCTGGAGCCCAGGGAAATGGAGGCTTGGGCTCCCTTGCTCTTCCCTCGTTGCCTGGAGAACCAGTGGGATAGGTATTGGGGCTTCACAGGGGGTGGATGGGATAGCCCGTGGGAAGAGGAACAGGGACGCAGAGGCCAGGCCCTCATCCCAGGTCCCAGCCTCTCTGGGCCCCACTTACCATGCTGGTCTGGGCTGTGTATTGGCTGGAGCTACCTGATGAGGCTCCAGGAAGCCTGTAAGAGGGGAGGTAGGTGCTGCTGTTCGGGCCTATGGAGGCCGGGGTCCTATGCTCAGCCAGAGCCTCTTGCCTAGAGGCCTGGCTCCTTCTAGGGCATGGGGCCACGGGGAGTGGGCAGCAATGTTGCCACTGGTTCCAGACCAGGTGTCGTGGGATTGCTGCAGGGGAGGGGGACAGGGAGCCGCCGACGCCCTGCTTTCCCTCAGGTCCTTGCTCAGGCCAACAGACACCCAGACGTTAAAGTGTCGAGGGTGTGGGCTTCTCCCCAGGTTCAGGCCCAGACCGCTCCGGGTACTGCACAAACCCAACAGCCCTGATGGCCTCCCAGCCCCCACCCTTGCTCCCTCTAACCCATCTGCATCTCCCACCAGCATTGTGTAAACCACCCCACAATTTACACGGCTCCCCACCACCCCAAGCTCTTTGGCGACAGACTGTGGGCTACCTGATCGTATCAGCGGCGTCTCCCAACCCACCTCGGAGGTCCGCTGTACACTCATTCCCCAGCATGCACAACACTTTGAGGCCTCTGTTTGTATTTGTTGTTCCCTACACTTGGCACGTTCTTCCCCCTCCTGTCCCAAGGCCCTTCTAACAAATCACGCTTTTTTGGTGTCCACTTGGTGAGCCCTTGGTAGACGGGTGGCTGAAGGAGGAGCTGGGCGGTATCTCCTTGTCCTTCTCTACCCTGGACACTCACCTGGGACTGAGGGTTGCAGAAGTGGGAACAGGGCTGAGGAGATGCTGGGAACCAGGGTGAGCAGCAAGGGGGCCTAGAGGGCCCAAGCCCAGTAGAGGAGTTCCTTTTGCCCACTGCTGGGAATGAACTCCTTCATGAGGTGGGAGGACAGCTACAGAGGGTCCGCGGAGACCCTCAAAGTGGCCTCCGGCACCAGGACGCCTCAGGGTTCCCTGACCACCAGGTCGGGCTGTGACATTTTCACAGTAAAGGTTCGCACAGATGCTGGTCTTAGCTCACTGCACTGCAGGCTGGGCAAGTGCAAGAGTTGGGTGTAGAGGACATGGGGCAGGTCCTGACAGCCACCTGTGGGCAAGAGGAGCAGAGTCAGCAGAGTGGTGGGGTTGAAAGGACCCTGGGAAGGGGGCAGAAGAGGCTGACCTAGACCATCTCAGTGGGTTATGGGAGGGTGGGGGGTACACGGGGAGTGGTCCAAAAACACCAGAATGCTTTCCTCAGGGCAAGTGGTAGGTCAACAAAAAAGGCTGGGGAAAAATCCGAGAAGGGTCAACCAAGGTCGTGTGAAGAGGGTAAGGAACCTACTCACCCTGTAGTTCCCTCTCCTTCTTCACAAAGCTGTCCCGGAGGCCTTGAGAGGTGCCTGTTGTAACCAGTGGAGATGTTTGCAAAAAGTTGCCGCCCACTGCCAATCAGCACCTCCCTCACAGAGGTCTTGGGAGTCTGGGCTCCACCCAAGGGGTTACAACTGGCCTTGTGCACATAAAAGTGGTTTCCACCTCTTCCAAGGACAGGTTAGGAACACCTGTCCAAGCTAAAGACTTCCAGTCTCACAGTTCATTCTTTAATATAAATATAAAGGGATCATAGTACACTCAGGTACCGTACCAGTTGGATTTTGCAAGCGCGGTTGTGTCCTCCAACGCCACGTGGTTTTCTCATGTTCACACTTCTACAGGACTAACTAAAACCCCTTGCTTTACAACCCAGAGGCTAAGAAGCCCAGGACTCAACAGGCTGCCTTAACCAAAATTTCCTTCCCAGCTTGCCACATGCACAACCTCCCATTTTGGGAGCCAGGCACCTCAATGGCAGCTGGTTTGGTAGAACGTTGTTAGGTTCTTCTTTCCCAAGAGGACAGTCCAGAATATTGCCAAAGAACGTTGTGCTGGAGCTTCCTCTGGGACAAACAGGCTAGTACCCTGGTTAATCATTTTACCATAGGCTTACTCAGGGGGCAAATTCTTCACTTTCTGCCCCAAAGCCCTATCAGTACCTGCCGCCCCACCCTGATTTTAAGACAACTATGAAGAAAAGGACTCAACTCCACAAAGGGGCAGGTCAGAATATTGTTATACTGGCCACAGCATTTCAAAGAGTCCAATAATAGTAGTAGGCCTGGCTAGATTTGAGAACAATTTCTTGTTATGACGAACCAGAAATACAAGATTCCACGGAGAACTGGAACAGTTGACAGAATATAGTTGAACTTAATTAAACCTTCAAGGGAAATAAAAAAGAGGGTCAAACAAAGCCACTGAACGGAGAAGCCAAGATTGGTTTGGGATAAACATAAGGATAACAGCCTTTCAGCCTGGGTACCTTCTGAGGCCTCCCAGAAGGGATCAGCCAGCATTCCATCCCCTTTTCTGAAGCACGTGCCAAATCAAATGGCTGTTTCCTCTCCATTGCAGGTGTAAGCGAACCCAAAAGTATCTCTTTGGACAGGATACAAAGAGGAAAGTTTATACATCTAATTCCAGGGTAGAAAGTGCACACACGCGACCCAGCACACTCCTTATATGGTGTCAATGCCCACAGAAGTAACTTCAGTCAAATCAGAGGCACTACCATGTGTAACCTATGTGGCCCTGCGGCTATGTCCGTGTTCCTAATTAACTACGCTAAAAATATCAATGTAGCAGAATGCATTTTTGAGCTCCAAATTTGTTGAGCTCAACACTTTTAAGAGGCTAGTAAATGTAGAACAGAATTGTTTCACAGAAACCTAGGCATTAAGAAGGAACACTGATGGGCTCTTACTAGGCCTTTTTCATGGGAACACAGAGATGAAATGTCAGAACGTCAGAGCATAGGGACAGGTGAAGGGAGGCAGAGGAGGAAGAGAGTGTTCTAGCCACAAGGCCACCACATTCATGTTCAAAGAGAAGTCAGAGCGATGGGGGTGGAGGAACAACCCAAACACAACCAAACAAAATCCAAGTCAGAGGAAAAAAGGGTTTCATACAACACAGTATCAAAAAAGTAAAAGGAACACACTAAAATGCACAAACTGGTGGCAAGTTAAGTCCACAGCCTATTGTGATAGGTCCTTCCAGCATCAATCAGGTGTCTTCTCCATCTGTTATTTCAAGGTTATTTACAGATGTGGTGACTTTTGAACAAGAGTCTCTCACAGGAGGGCGGGCAGGTTTCAATCATTGGTTTCTGGATCTGTTTGTGCCATATAAGCATCCAACTCGGCATCCAGGTGTCCTTTTGTTTTTGACATGTACGCATCCAACTGGTTGTCCAGCTGCTCCTTGGTCAGCACAGGGCGAGTGAGGGCACCTCTCCCTCGTCCACGGCCTCGGCCTCGGCCTCCAAAGCCCCCTCTTCCCCGACCTATCATACCCCGACCTGGCCCAAGGGGAAAAAAAGAAAACAGTTACAAGTAGGTTTAATGGGTGCTACGGCAAATGCCCCTTAGAGCAGTGGGGCCTAGCTGAGAAAGGCTGAAAGGGCAGGGCAAAGAGGAGAAATCTGGAAAAACAGGAAACACATTGGGTAGAAAGCAACACATGGAAAGCACACGTAATGAATCCCTGTTTACATGCTCATCTCTAAATGCTATTTAAAGACTTTTTATTCTATTGACAAAAGTAAAATAACTGACAAAAGAATCTTAATCTCTCCTAAGACAAATTATCTAAAGTTGTGAGGCCCACTAGAAGTTTATTAATTAAAATACATTATAGATAATCCCATTTAGTAAGAGGGAAGAAGTAACAAGGGCACAGAGAAACGGAGGTGTAAGGCTAGACAATTTTTAAGGTAAGCCTTATTAGAGAGCTTTCTGGAAAATCAGCTCATCTCTCCTCAAACTTACTAAAACTAATGAGCTGACCCCACATCAGGAGACTGAGGAGTTACTATGACATAGGAACAATGTGAGAAGATGGGGAAAAATATTTATAGTAGTCCCAGCCACTTCTATCTCAGATTCTAATTGCCTTCTAACAATTATGGTTATCTGAGAGGTGGTTTCAATCCACTTAATGAAACATACACAGCTTTCTGAAAAGCTACTTTAGACCCCTCACCCACCCCTGTGATGTCAGAAACCAGGTCAAGATAATTTGGAAACATGCTATTTCATCCTGAAACCCAAACGAGCTTGTACTTCACTCAGTGAGCCAAACATATAATGGGAGAGAAGAAACTAAGCCCTTGGCTATCAAATTTCCTTTTCTAACAGTTATTGTCCTTTGGCAACTTCAAGGTCATAAATTATGGAAGACCCACCACACACTATAAAAGGACCAAAGCCGATATACACAGGGGCTACAGGAATAGATTTGCTCCCACCCTAGACAGGTGTTGTTGAGAGTTTTCCACTAAGCTCTGTATCAGAAAACTCCCATGAGGTCTGGATTAACAACAGCAACACCATTAAATGCCTTTCCAATCTGGGTCATGATGAGGCCACAAGACAAGTAGCACTAAGTCTCAAAGGTAAGATTATCAACAAGAGTCAGTTAACTGACATGGTACCTTCTTGCTTTCTACCTTGATCAAAAAAGTCATCTGATTTCCCACAGACACAAACTTTACCTTGACTTTACTTGGCTTCAACATCAATACCCAGCTCCAATCTCACCATCCTTTGCCACTCTTTCATTTTTGTACATCTCCCTCTTCTTTATTCTTATCTTAGACTCAAGGTGGGGTTTTGAGCTATGGGATGGGGTGTGTGGTGGTGGGGCAAGGACAGAGAAAGGTAAAACCTCAAACTGACCATCTTGTCATTTTAAAGATACAATTTAAATTTGCAAGAACCTGGAAAAAGACTGCATATGATCTGGCTCTGACATGTACCTGACTGGTTCTTAGACAACCCATGACAGACTTTTGCACTACCGCGTGTGAATTTAGAAAGTAAGCCAGTTTCAAAAAACAAAACAAGACAAACAAATAAGCCTGCCTATGACTTGAAGCTGTGCAGAAAGGTGGCTCTGAGTTTTGAAGGGAGAGAAGTAAAAGGGAGCTATTCTCTGAAGTTGGTAGCTGACTAACCTCTACCACCGATTCCGCCACGACCCATAGCTCCACGCCCTAGGCCCCCTCTCCCAGGACCTCCACGACCTCGAACACCACCTCTTCTTAAGCCCATTCGGGGAGCTACGGCTCGTCCACCTCGGAGCAGGTTTTGACCTTGGAGAGGAGGCATACAATGTATATGCAGGTAAATCCAAGAGAGACAAAGTAGACTCTAACCAAAGGAAGGCGGTGAAGGTTAAATGAGAGTTAATTCAGTTAATTTTTAGGTTGGGGGGGGGGCAAGCTGCACACCAAGTGTGAATAGATCAAGCTGCTCTTTATTCAATCAATTCAAAGTGTGACCACAAACCCATTTTGGGAAGAAGCTGGGAGTTAAGTTAATTAGTAAGTACATACAATAAATATCTACTGAATAATCAGACATGTGCCTAGCATTAAGGTAGATTTAAAAATCAATAATATGGTTCCTGCTCTCAATACGTTCTCACAAGGGACAAGAACAACATGGGGAACAGCGTTAACAGTGCCCAAAATGTAACATGTAGCTAAGTGCTATGGACCAACTTATCCTCTCTTTTTTCCAAATAGAACAGCGTGTTTCACCAGTACTGGGAACAAAGATAGTTAAGATACAGGCCAACAGACCAAAAATTTCTTAGATTTGACTTATTTCTAGAACTTGAATGTGCTTTTGATTTAAGCAGCAGCAGGGTGTTTCAAAATGGAATGGAGATGACATGAATTACCTGTTGTTACGCAGGTCATAGCCTCTCACCATTGCACATTATCAGAAAAGGAATGGTATCGATAAAAGACATGCAGCACTATTAAAAATACGTGATTTCAAAGGTTATTAATTATATTAATACAAATTCAGGCTTAAAGATGTTAAACAAATGTGTCCATAAGCAGCCCAAGAGAAAAGGGAAGGGGTAGGGCCCGACAATGTTCAAGTACACAGCACTGACCTCGGAGCGACATCCCGCCCCTAAGCAGGGTTCTGGTGGCACGTCCCCCTCGTAGTCCTCCTCTGGGCAAGCCTCTCTGGATTATGGGCAGGCCTCGTCCTCCGATTGCTCCCCTGGCCAGGGTCCCTATGGGTCGGCCTAACCGTGCCTGGATGTTACTCTTACCCAGGCGCTGCTTTAAGCTCTTCTGGAAGAAAAGGTGTTGGGGGATTGAGATCAAAAAAGCATTCCAGTGGCATCTAGCAACTCAAAGTGCAGAGAAAAAGAAGCAGTGAGATGGCTGTGTGCAGGGAGATAAACTTGCCGTAGGTGTCATATAAAGAACCTAATCCAGAAACTAGCCTTTGCCTCAGAAAAGAAGAATTCTGATCCAGAGCTTTTACGAAAGCTTGAGTATGGTCCCATGAAATTGGCATCAACACAAATCACCTCACTAGTTTGGCTACAGAAGCCATACAC